GGGCTCCAAGCCAGGGCCCCCGATGAACTCGCGCGGCAGGGGCCAGGGCCCGACGCCGATCCGGCGGCCGGTCAGGGGCTTAGAGCTCGATGGGGCTGGTTTCAGATCCTGTCGTTTCCGGGATCCCGGAGATCGCGCGCGCCGTTGACGCCGACGATTTGAAACGCACATTCCACGTCAATGAGGATCGCGCCTGCGCTGCTCGGGGCCTCGCGCATGCTCTTGCGCATGAAGCGGTGGCCGATCCCAAGGGATGTGCGTCTATAGCCGGGCCTGGTCCGCATGTGCGACCGTTTCTTCAAGGATCTGCCACGTAGTTGCAATGAAATTTCCCGCGGCTTTTGGCTTTCAGTCATGGGCGCCCCCCCCACCCCTGGAGACAATCGAAACTGCTTCCAGGCGGCGCGGGCGGGCCCGTGGGATCTTCCACCCTGGGGCCACGCGACTGTTGGGGGGCGTCAAGGCCACGCGGGCTCTGCGTGGCAGGCGGGTTCAAACAGTGTTCAGAGGGGAGCACTGCAAGTGGTTTCTAGGAAGTGTAGACAGCATTATGATACGGCCCCGCGGATGTCCGCCAGGTAGACCCGGCAGGTTGGCCTGGCAACGGCGAGCCAGCCGCGGCGTCACGCATTGGCCGTGGCCCATCTTGATGGGGCGCTCGGCGCGGGGCGAAAGGTTCTACGCGGGCGCGACCGAGGCGCCCCCCGGGCGGTCGCCGCCGTCAGGCTGCGCGTGGATCCCGACGACATTGCGCGGAGACACGCCCCGCTCGAGTCTGGGCTTCGAGTTCGGGGGGGGACGCGGGAGGGGGGGGGGCGAGCGCGCCTGCCAATGGCTTTGCACGCCGCGCATCTATTGCCGCGAGCCAGGCCACTGCCGGCCTTCGCCCTGGTCCGAAGAGAAGACGGGGTTCTATTTCAGCATTGGTTAGCCGTGATTTTCAACCATGTGCATTCACCCGCGACGCTACGCCGATGACTGCCGCCGCGTCTTCCACAGCGGCCGCCGGGGGGGGGCCTCGGCAGTCGACGCAGTAACCCCGGAGGAAGAGGCAAAGAGGTTGGATCCGATCGCCCCGTTCTCACCAGCGACACCCAAAGACAGCCTCGCACACGACGATCCTAGCACCTTCGCTGCGGCTGCGCCCGCTCTTCGCGCCGCTGCAGCTGTTGCGACCAAGCCGCCCCCGCCGAAGAGGACTGCGCCGGCGCCGTTCTCATTCCCGCGCGCGGCCCACCGCGCCCCGATCATGCCTCCGAGACGCATTGTGAAGCGGGCAGAATGTGGCGCGCGGCGCTGGGGCGAGGAGCGGGGTAGATGGGTCTACGGGGGCGCCGTGCACGGCGATGCCGATTCGTTTTCGATTCCGGCGGGATCCTTGGCCCCACAGGCAAATATCGGCGCCATCATTGCGATCCCCATTCGCATGGGCCAGCTTTTGACATAGAAGCGACATGCAAATGACAACATTCGCGCCGACGCATGCGGCGCGCACCTGGCGCATGCACCCCCAGAAGTCACAGGTACCTCGACATTGTTTGAGGTTGCTTGCGGCGCGCACCTGACCTGTTCATCCCCCCAGGGCCGCGCGTCGATTTGCGAGGTTGCCGCCCATGCTGAAGACTTGGACTTTGCGGGGGCAACAATGCCCATAGCGTGGAGCCCCGCTGCGCGTGGAGACCGGCGATGTAATGGCCATGCAAGTGCACGCCATTACACGGGCACGTCGCATGATTACACTATATGTTCGCATTGGTTGCGAATTTTGACGTGCAAGACACCGTGCATACCTAATGGTGATATTTGGTTTGTTCTGCTCGATGTGCATGCACGGCAACGTGTTCATTGATAGTTTTGATGGAATGTGTTGACGATTGAGAGATTTTTGGGGGCATGATACTTTGCTACGCGTGTGGGGCGTGCAATTACCGCGCCGCCCTGATATTTCAATGAGAAGTAGTCTCAATGGAAGGGGCAACCCAGTCCGTTCACTCGTGCCACCGCCGCATCTCCGAATGCCGCGAATGCCGCGAATGCTTGGCCACGCGTGCCACGTCCGCTTTAGTTAATGTAGGCTCCGCGCGCTTGTTCTGGACCGCCTGCAACAGGAGTAAGGACAAGCTCGGGCGGCTCGCGCCGCACGAGTATTTTGGGGCTTGTGCGCCCTGGCGGTGCACCCCGGAGGCTGGCGCGCCATGGTCTATCTACCGCGGCGCCCGCCTTTCGCAGCGGGCCTGCGTCCGTCCAGCTCGGGTTCCCCGAGCGACGCAATTGCCCATTCGTGCTCTCACCTTCCTTGCCCCGCCCTGCCTGTCACGCCCTTCCACCCCCGTTGGCGCCAGCAATCGGTGCGCTGCCTGGTTAGGTTCGGGGGTCACTCCTTTGCTCCCGATACCCTTCCCTTGCGTTGCGTTGCTGGCGTCTCGGAGGTCGGTTTGCGTGTCGAACCGACCTCCTGTTTCTCCTGTGTTTTACTGCGCCCGCTGCCTGGTGATCGTTCTTTTATTTGTTTTTGCTTTCGGCGGACCCCCCCGCCCCCCCCCCCCCCCGTAGAGAAGTCATGGGCTGATTTTGGCACCTGCTTCAGTCGATCTGACGAACTACGGGGGCCGGCGCCCCCCCCCCCCCCCCCGTGGAAACTCGAATCGTTGATGTGTGCAACTGTGCGAACTTTTTCCTGCTATTCTTCTGGAACCGTAACGAAAGGGCTCAGGGGCGCCGGACCCGATCGCCAAAAAAACATGCCTCCGGTTTAGACATGGGAACTACATTGTTTGCATAAAAGATTGTTTGAACAAAAAATGCGTGATAAATATATTAAGTGATGTTACGTCAGACATGTGTTGATTCTACACGTCAGACATATATTGACTAAGACATTTCACAATATATCATATTACATCTTAAATTATCGATAAGTTTCATAAATATTTGCGTTGTATTGTAATTGATAGAATGAGTTTGTTTACCAGTTTCACGCCTCATGAGGCTCAAATGTTGAATTTTAAGCTATGTTGAAAATTTCAAGATGATTCAATCGGAGGTATTGACTACGGGACGAGAGCCGGACCCCCCCCCCTCCCCCCCTTGCGCCAAATGACGAAACCCAGAATACATAAACGCTCACCTGTTGCGGTTGGAGGCGTCAGCTTGCCTATTGTCTCAATCGCATTGATCGTAGTAGAGAAAGATAAGACCTTCACCATTGCCCATCATTCATCTCTACTTGCTTTACTGACGGATATCCGGGAGGGGGTCGACCTTTCTGTCAACTTCTCCCTCACACAACTGGTGCTTCGCAGCCTTTCGTGAACTGCTGTGGCCCTGTAGGGCGTATATTCCTTCCATCGTTGGTCATGTTGGCTGCGTTTGGGTGCCTTTCGGGGCCGTGTCAAGAGTTGCGCATGCGAGGCCCGAGGGACCGAACCTTCGTTGAGCAGCCATCGCGTAGCCAGTGCCCCCAAGCGTCCCAGGGGTAGTTCCCAATATGTCACCGACATGCACAAATACTTTAACGTGCTACTTCTTAATACGCTTTTTTATTTGTTTTAAGGGGGCGAATCCAACATTGTCAGCCCCGGCCAAATGCACACGCCCGAACCGACCCTTTCCACGACACGCTGTGTTCAGAAATGCCACGTCGCGACTTTCTGCCGGCGTGGTTCCCCAAAGGTGTAGCCCTGGGACCAACCTTTCGTTCCAGTTGTATGTTATGCGGGTCCCGGGGCCCGGCGGGGGCCCGTTGAGTTGGACATTCGCCGAACACATCCCGTTGCATGTCTCTCAAGACGCGAGGATGTCGGGGTTGGCCGTGGCCCTGAGATCGGAGCGCGTGCGCCGCCAGTGCCTTCCTGGCACCCGCACAAGAAATCCTTCCGTCGTTGCCGAGGATCAGAGGAGCGAGAATCATTGAAAATGGCTCGCTATCAAATTCCGAGGGATCCTTGTTTTTTTGCGCAGGCAGAACGTATCCAGAACTATTCGCACCATGACATTTACTTTCGCCTTAGAGCATCGCCGTGGAAGAGAGGAGTCCTGAGAAAGATGGGCCGTAGAACCCAAGGCTTTCCCCAAGATCAGCTTTTCATGCTGAACCGCTCTCTGACGGCCAACGTGGCCGTGGAGGGCCCCAGAGGCCCAAGGATAGAGAAAAACCTCCAGGACACCCTTTTCTTCTTCCTCTACAGGATCCAGTTCCTTCGTGTTGCGAGGGGTGGTTTCTGCCCCTGGTCTGCAATCGCACATCGGGGTATGGCTTGTGGCCGTTTTGCCACGAGGAGAGGGAGATTAGTGATTGCGTGGGTTCGCGCTGATCGAACGAGTCCAGGCTCTTTTCCAAAGGCTCTCATTTCTACAGCAGCTTGTTGCACCTCCCCGCCCCGCCAAAGGCGAGGCAAGGACGATAGATGAGCATTGGCGGCTCTCCAGTCTTGTCCAGTATCGGCCCAGCAGTGAATCTAGGTCCAATCCAAATGCTACGAGGGGATGCGTTTGCCCTGCCCCCCCGGCCGCTTGTCCTGGCGGCGGCCACCGCGCGCATGCCGAGAAACCGCCGCCCCCCCACCCCTCGTCCCGCCCCCGGCCGTAACATTGGTAAGTATTGCAGTCGAGATGTTGGTTCAAGATTCTGCGGGCCCCGCTCCTCCGGGAAAGCTTGCTTGTTCAATGTTGAGGCCGGGAGCGGAGTGGGGTTATGCGAAGTGGTTTCTAGATGTTTGTTGCATGTTGCAGCTGCCCTCTTGCTACGAGGTGAAGGAAGGTTTCTGCCTCGCTTCCTTGGCATCGACGTGGAGGACCTCTCCAGAGTCAGCAGCGCACTGCTGAAAAGGGCTCGGACAGCGAGCCGCCCTCCGAGGACGAGCTGCTCTGAGTTTAGTCGGACCCAGCTGTCCAGACCAGCCGCCACGCCACGGGTCTTCTGCCCCCCCCTCCCTGCCCGCCCGCTCCCCGCGGCGGCCGTCGCGCGCCCGCCGAGACGCCGCCCGCCCCGCCCGCGGGAGGCCTCGAAGAGCTCGCCGGGCGGCTGGCCTCGTTGGAGGAAGCGGGGGCCCCGTGGGAGTGATGCGGAGGACACGGACGGGGGGGAGATGGGACATGGGGAGGCTCAGGGCAGTGCCAGGGGGAGGGATGACAAGCTGGAGGAGTTGGTGCAGAGATTGGAGAGCGGGGGGGAGGAGAAGGAAGCAGTGGAGGCAGAGGAGGAACAGAAATAGGAGGAGAAGGAGGAAACTTAAGGATGAGCAGGTGGAGGAGTGGGGCGAAGTAGGAGGAGGAGGAAGAGGAGAAGGAGGAGGAGGCCCAGTGTTGGGGGAAGAGCGCAAGCTGGACGAGGAGACGAGAAGGAGGAGGAGGGGGTGTGCTCGAGGGGCTCTCGGGGTCCCCAGGCTCGGAGGATCGCGCCGCATCACCGATGCATCGCCGATGTGGTTGGATGAAGGGCCCGATCTTCTTCACGCCGACGGCGCCAATGCATCGGCGACGTCGCCTGGCCCCTATCAGCCGAAAAGGTATGTGACCAGAACACTACTGGTGACCGAAAACGTGCCGAATTGTGACTGCAAACTACTGTGACCGAGGTTGTGACCGAAATCTGAAACATCTGTGGCTTCGAACCATTAATTTCGGTCACACTCTTGCGCGTTCGTGAAAACATCAGGCGCTGGTCTCGGGCGCAATCCGGCTGATGTTCGGGAACAATGTTAGTTTTACATTCCCTTCAGAAAGACGTGGCTGCGTGAGGGTTGGTCCGAGGAATTCTCAGGGGTCCCCAGACTCGGGAGGGAGTCGGAGACATAACAGCAGCATACGCAATTTGTCTGATGTCCCCGCGGATGTCTTGGATATACACTGGGCCCACTTGGCGGCGCAAACCGCATACACTAGTCATAGGAGGTTTGTGCGGACCTCCGAGAACATATATGTGTGTGCCGCTTCCTGCTTCTCTTAAGGAGAGGGTCAACGGAGCGTGTTGCTCCGCCGTGAGCGTCTGAAGTAGCACGGAGACGGACTTCCCACGGTGGCGTGTCGTTGATATTGTTGTTGCGCCCCCACAGACGGCGCGGTGACCACATAGTGTGGTGAGGCGGTGGGGATTCGGGATGACCGCACTTTTTTGGGACTCGGGTTGTTCTCCGAGGACGCCTGGGGAGGCTTGGGTCTCCAGGATTCCCAAGACCTTGCGGTGACGGACCGTGTGGTGAGGTTTGGTTTTTCTTTTTCGAGATTTCGAGATCACTGCATGGTCTATCACCGCAGCGCGTTGGGCCTCCCAGGGATGATGGACGGTGGAAGATTCGAGGCTCAAGTTCCCTGACCTTCTCGCGTCGCGCCACAAGTCACGACGGACGGCTCTCTGCAGTGTTTCTGCCTCGAGGGCCCCTTTGGCCAGGCCCCAGGGCCGGCAAGAAGCAGGACGAAGGCAGGTCCCCGAAGAGGGACCCGGACCTTTGGGAGAGCCACACTGCGATAAAAGGGATGACGTCGGACGTCCTGAGCTGGAGAGCTCGAGGGCTCGAGGGTCCTCGGGGTTCTGGGAGGCCCCTCGTCGCCACGGCTGGGTCGCCCTCGGGATCCTGGTCAGAACGCACCGCGGGAGAGGTCCGCAGGACAGGCCAGGAGGGGCACGGGCATCGAAGGTCACGTTTTGTTCGCACTGTGGCTCCGTGGAGGTCTGGACCCTTTCCGGGGGGGGGGCAGCTTTCCATCCTGGATAGGTTTGATTGTCCTGGGTGCTGGGCCAGGCAAGCGGTCCTGGAGGCCGAGAAGGGCAATAAGCACACCTCGTTGTTTTCGCTGCGGCGCGATGGGGGTCACGGACATGGAGATGAAACACAGAGATTACATGATCTTGCGATAGGCGAGGTAATGAGTGGAAAGAGGGATAGAGAGAGAGAAGAGACAAAGAGAGAGAGAGGGAGAGAGAGAGAAAGAGCGAGAGACACAGAGAGAGAGAGAGAGAGAAATGCATTTCTCCGAGGTAATACAGTCAATTCGCATAGTTAGGATGAGCAAGTGTCCAAGGCTTCCTCTGCATCCTTGTCCCTTCTGTCCATCATCAGTAACTTTCACTGGCCAACCCTGTTCGAAGAACGGGGGCATGGCCTTTCAGGGCCCTTGCATTCTTACCGCGCATCCTGATGATGCGTTTTGATTGTAGTAGAGCTCAGAGGCGATGATTTGTGAAGCCGTCCCGTCCGCGATTGGTTTGGCCGCTCCGCTCGGGACAGCCTCAACGGTCTGAAATTCGGCCCCCCCCGCGCGCAGATTGCGACGTCAAGGTCCAGGCACCCAATGGATCTCACCATCTTAACACACAGACTTAAAAGAAACACCACATGTCTGTTAGTAATGCTGCGCACAAGGAAGTCTTAGAATGCCATCGTTGTTTACACAGTTTAAACAATGTGCACTGTCTTGTTAAACATTGGCCGTTGTAGAATGTTTGCCCTCAAGAAGCCAATCGTCTTTATCGGTTTTGCACATAACTGTTAGATTATCATATGTCTGACGCTGGTTCCCAATGTATTTCTCCATGTCGGCTCTGACTTCTGTGTTGTTCATGCCTGCAGCGGTGCTTTTCAAAGTTTCGTCTAGTCGCAAGCTTCGGCAACCCCATCGGTGGCCCCACACTGCTTCCTGTACGAGCCTGTGCACGCACGTGCCACCCAGGCCGCCAGACGGCCCAGATGGCCCAGGCCGGTTCCATCAGTCCCAAGGAGGTTCCTAAGACGCTTCCAAGACGCCCCCCCCGAGCGGCTTCCAAGAGACCCCCAGGAGGCAAACACATGGATTACCCGAGACGTACCCAACACCTTCTCCATGCGAGGCGAATAGTTGTATTGACGCTCTATGCAAACGGACACATCGCCAGGTATACATGATCTGCGTTGCCCTCACCTCCGCCGTGCCTCCCAGGAGCCTCCCAGGGCGACAGGCGAGCCACGAGCAGCCCAAGAACCCCCCAAAAGGCTCAGGTCAGATCAGAAGCCGTGCACCTGTAAGACGCGTGTGTAAGCCCCCCGAAAGCCCACGAGACCCCAAAGAGGAGCCCAAGAAGCCCCCAAGATGGCCCCAGGAGGCTACGATTTGCTCCTCAGGCGTATTGTTATTCATGTTTCTTGCTACTGCCGCGCGCCATACGTATCACACATCGATGTGCCATGGCGTGTGTGCATGTATGGTTGTGTACATATACATACATACACGTGTGTGCACTTGTACATGTCATTTGCTAGTATCACAGCATTGCTGGACGCGCGCTCTCAGACGTGACAAGCGTTGCTGCTCAATGTTGGACGCACGAAGGAAGTCCGGCTCTGACGTTAAACTGAGGGGTGCGCGGGGAGGAGGAGAAGGACCAGTGCGAACCAAATATCCAGCAACGATATTGCAATCCACCCTCCCTCTAAGTTCCCTCTTCATGCAATCAGAGAGAAACATAGAAACACGATGTCGCATTTTCAACATATACGTTTGTGCACATTTCATGTCCAAGGCAGCCCCAGGCAGGCATCGCGCAGCGCACGCACGCCGAGCCGACGTGGGCGAACAACTTTGCTAGCATCTTGCGCCGCTGGGATCGCGTCTGGGCGTTGGCCCTTCCATGCTCGAAACACCTTGGGACCTCTCCGACCCCACCTATTATAATGAGTGGGTGTCGGATGGGTCTTCAAATTCTTCATAAACAATGAATTTTACGCACCAGGTGCATCCCGACGGCGGTCTCGAGCGGTTTCGAACAGTTTCAACGGATCTCGAAGTGCCACGACGCATTCGACGCCGAACACACCCGCGAGTCTCACATGGTCTCACAGCGACACGAAACCCTCGGCGCCGAGCGCATACGTGTGTTTCACGCGGTTTCAGAATGCTCCGAAGCCCTGCGCGCCGAGCGCATCCGCGCGTTTCACTAAGTCTCGAAGTGCCACGAAAACCTCGGCGCCGAACACACCCGTGCGTCTCACACGGTTTCACAGCAACACGAGATTTTCGGCGCCGAGCGCATCCGTGCATTTCACGCGGTCTCAGAGTGCTCCGAAATTTTGCGCTCAGCGCATCCGCGCGTTTGACGAAGTTCAAAGTGCCGCGGAACCTTCGGCGCTGAGCACATCCGTGCGTCTCAGGCGGTCTCACAGGGCCACGAAACTCTCGGGGCCGAGCGTACCCGAGCGATTCACATGGTCTCTGACTGCCCCCAAATCCTCGGCGCCGATCGCATCCGCGCGTCTCACAGGGTCCCATGGCGTCACGAAGCCTTCGGCGCCGATGGCTTCGTGGTTCTATGACAGGGTCACACATCCTCGCGTCTCACAGGGTCTCAAATGGCCGCGAAACCCTCGGCGCCCAGCGAATCCGCGCGTCTCGCGCGGTTTCGAAGTGCCACGAAACCTTTTCTGGCAGTCCGCGACCACAGAGAGTGAGCGGGCATCCCCCTCGCGAGCTTTTGCATGCGATTCCGCTTCTGGCTGGGCGCCTTCTCCTCGTAGTTCTTCAAGATTTGCGCGGCCCGCTGTCGGAACTGCGCCTTCGTGATTACCTTCTTGGTGTTGAAGTCCTCCTGCTCTCGCAGATCTAAGTCTCTGCGCAGCCACGCCCGCGCCGTCCTGATCGGGTTCGGATTGCACACCTTTGGAGGGAACCGCACTAATGCGATCCCGTTCTTCGCGCACACGTCAGGCTGCTGCCAGAGAGACTCACCGTTGTGCCAGATCATTGCGCGCTTCTTCTGCGCGCCGCCCCCGCCCGCATCTGCGGCGCGCATCAGCGCCGGGAAATTCTTGGCCCACTCCTCCTTCACCATCTTAGCCATGGGCGTCCACAGCCTGAGATTGAAGCGCCCCCGTCCTCTGAATCCGCCCCACAGCGGCACCATCGTTTCCAGCTGGATGCCGTATTTTTTGCACGCGTGGCAGTCAGGGTCGGAATCCTTGCCCTTCCTCGTGTGATTCCCGCTCACTCCCCGAGCCTTTCCTGCCCCTGCTCCTACTGCTCTCACCCTTTTCCCTGCTGCCCGTTTTGGTTCGGAATTTACTAGGGCCC